CAAGTGTAGTGTTGAAGTGAACTGTACCTAGCAGAGTGTAGTGTTGAAGTGCAGTGTACCTCATATCCAAGTTAGTGTGAAGTGACATTACCCGTATCCAGATGTAGTGTTGACAGTGACATGTACCTCATATCCAGTGTATGTTGAATGGACAGTGTACCTCGTATCCAAGTGTAGTGTCAGGTGAACAGTGTACCTCAGTATCCAGAGTATGTTGAAGGACAGTGTACCCAGTATCAGGGTAGTGTTGACAGTGAACAGTGTACCCATATCCAGTTATACTGTCCTAGTAGAGTAGTTTACTCATAATCAGTACGTATACGCATAAGTCCGTATTTTACACTGTAAGTCCAGTACGTATAACCGTATATCACAGTATTATATACCGTCATATCACAGATTTATACACGTCATAAGCACTAGTATATACACTGTCATATCCAGTACGTTAATACACGTCAAAGTCACAGTACGTAATACATCATATCCAGAATTATATACCGTCATAAGTCACATACTTATATACACGTAACACAGTATTATATCACAGCATAAGTCCAGAGTTAACACTTCTAAGCACAGTATTTAAATGTCATAGTCCAGTAGTATATACACGTATAATACAGTAAGTATATACACGTCATAGCAGTAAGTTAATACACTTCAAAGTCACATAGTTTTTTAACTGTATAACAAGTTATATACACTGTTAAGTACGTAAGTATTACGCTAGTCCAGAGTATATAATGCTAATCCTAGTTACACCTAAGTCAAGTAGTTATACGTCTAATCAAGTAGTTAATACAGTCTAGCCAATAGTTTACCATAACCAAAGTTATTACATGCAAAGCCAAGTATTAATAACGTTATCAAATAAGTTATAAGAATTATACTCAGTTATTAATAAATTACATAACAAGTGTTAACATTAACACGTGTTGTTAATGTATGTCAGTGACAGTGTACCTCAGTACCAGAGTGTAGTGTTGACGGTGGACAGTGTCCTCAGTATCCGAGTGTAGTGTTGACAGGTGACAGTGTACCTCATATCCAGTGTAGTGTTGCAGGTGCAGTGTACCTCAGTATCCAGTGAGTGTTACAGTACATGTACCTCAGTATCAAGTGTGTGTTGACAGGTGGCAGTGTACCCAGTATCCAGAGTGTTGTTGACAGGTGGACAGTGTACCTCAGTATCCAGAGTGTAGTGTTGACAGGTGAACATGTACCTCAGTATCCAGAGTGTAGTGTTACAGGTGACAGTGACCTCATATCCAGATGTAGTGTGACAGGTACAGTGTACCTCAGTATCCAGAGTGTAGTGTTGACAGGTGAACAGTGTACCTCAGTATCCAGAGTGTAGTGTTGACAGGTGAACAGTGTACCTCAGTATCCAGAGTGTAGTGTTGACAGGTGGCAGTGTACCTCAGTATCCAGAGTGTAGTGTTGACAGGTGGACAGTGTACCTCAGTATCCAGAGTGTAGTGTTGACAGGTGAACAGTGTACCTCAGTATCGAGAGTGTAGTGTTGACAGGTGGACAGTGTACCTCAGTATCCAGAGTGTAGTGTTGACAGGTGAACAGTGTACCTCAGTATCCAGAGTGTAGGGTGACAGTGTATGATCCGAGTGAGTGGACAGTGAGGTGTACCTCAGTATCCAGAGTGTAGTGTTGACAGGTGGACAGTGTACCTCAGTATCCAGAGTGTAGTGTTGACAGGTGGACAGTGTACCTCAGTATCCAGAGTGTAGTGTTGACAGGTGAACAGTGTACCTCAGTATCCAGAGTGTACTGTTGACAGGTGGACAGTGTACCTCAGTATCCAGAGTGTAGTGTTGACAGGTGAACAGTGTACCTCAGTATCCAGAGTGTAGTGTTGACAGGTGAACAGTGTACCTCAGTATCCAGAGTGTAGTGTTGACAGGTGAACAGTGTACCTCAGTATCCAGTGTATGTTACAGGTGAAAGTGACCTTCAGTAATCCAATGTACGTTGAGAGGTGAACAGTGTACCTCAGTATCCAGAGTGTAGTGTTGACAGGTGAACAGTGTACCTCAGTATCCAGTACGTTATATACACTGTCATAAGTCACAGTACGTTATATACACTGTCATAAGTCACAGTACGTTATATACACTGTCATAAGTCACAGTACGTTATATACACTGTCATAAGTCACAGTGACATGTGGACAGTGTACCCATAATCCAGAGTAGTGTTGACAGGTGACATGTCACTCAGTACGAGAGTGTAGTGTTGAACAGGTGGACAGTGTACCTCAGTATCCAGAGTGCTAGTGGACAGGTGACGTGTATCAAATATCCAGAGTGTAGTGTTGACAGTGCATGACCTCAGTAAGAGGTTAGTTTGACAGGTGGACAGGTACGTCAGTACCGGGGTGTTGTAGGTAACAGTGTACTAAGTCCAGAGTGTAGTGTAATGAACAGTGTACTAAATACCAGAGTGTAGTTGACAGGTGAACGTGTACCTCAGTATCGTAGAGTGTAGTGTTGACAGGTGGGACCAGTGTACCTATATCCAAGGTGTGTGACAGTAAGTGTACCTCAGTACAGAGTGTAGTGTGAAGGGAACTGTGTCAAGTCAGTATCGATGAGTGTACCGTGTTCGAAGGGGACAGTGTATTCATATCACAGTGTAGGTTGAAGAGTGGACATGTACCTCAGTATCCAGAGTGTATGTTGACAGTGAACGTGTACTCAGTATCAATGTAGTGTTGACAGGACAGTGTACCTCATAATCCAAGTGTAGTGATGACAGGTGAAAGTGCCACAGTATCGAGTGTAGTGATTTACAGTGGGCATGTACCTCAGTATCCAATGTAAGGTTGACAGGTGACGTGTACTCAGTATCCAGAGTGTAAATGTGAAGGTGAACAGTGTAACCTCATAACCAGAGTGTATGTTGACAGGTAGCACAGTGTACCACAGTATCGAGAGTGTAGTGTTGACAGGTGGACAGTGTACCTCAGTATCCAGAGTGTAGTGTTGACAGGTGGACAGTGTACCTCAGTATCCAGAGTGTAGTGTTGACAGGTGAACAGTGTACCTCAGTATCCAGAGTGTAGTGTTGACAGGTGGACAGTGTACCTCAGTATCCAGAGTGTAGTGTTGACAGGTGAAGTGTACCTCAGTATCCAGAGTGTAGTGTTGACAGGTGAACAGTGTACCTCAGTATCCAGAGTGTAGTGTTGACAGGTGAACAGTGTACCTCAGTATCCAGAGTGTAGTGTTGACAGGTGGACAGTGTACCTCAGTATCCAGAGTGTAGTGTTGACAAGTGAGCAGTGAGTGACAGGTGGGGGCGTACTTGTGGATGGCAGGGGGTAGGTATAGGGAGATGGGGGTGTACCTGTTGTGGCGAGAATCAGTACAGGGAGTGTGGGGTGTATCGTGGTGCGTGGGCAGGTACTGGGACGCGGGGCAGTGTACCTGTGGTAGTGGGGCAGGTGCGGAGGGGGGTGTACCTGGTAGTGGGTGCAGGTATGGGAGGCGGGGTGTACCTGTGGTGGCCGGGGCAGTTACTGAGAAGCGGGGTGTACTGTGGTGGAAGGGGGCTGGTACTGGAGGGTGGGGTGTACCTGTGTGGCGCGGGACTGTACTGGAAAGGTGTACCTGTATAGCGGGGGGGGGCTGGTATGGGAGTCGGGTGTACCTATAGTGCGGGGGGTGGTACTGGGAGGTGGGTGTACCTGTGGTGGCGGGGGACTGGTACTGGGAGATGGGTGTACCTGTGATTGCGGGGGGGCTGGTACTGGGAGTCGGGTGTACCTATAGTGGCGGGGGGCTGGTACTGGGAGGTGGGGTGTACCTGTGGTGGCGGGGGTCAGGAACTGGGAGGTGTAACTGCTGTGGCGGGGGCTAGATACTGGGAGGTGGGGTGTACCTGTGGTGACGGGGGGCAGGAACTGGGAGGTGGGGTGTATCTGCTGTGGCGGGGGCAGGTACAGGGAGGCGGGGTGTACCTGTGGGGGCGGGGCACAGGTACTGGGAGGTGGGGTGTACCAGTGGTGGCGGGGGCAGGTACAGGGAGGCGGGGTGTACCTGTGGTGGCGGGGCAGGTATGGGAGGCGGGGTGTACCTGTGGTGGCGGGGGCAGATACTGGGAGGCGGGGTGTACCTGTAGTGGCGGGGCAGGTACTGGGAGTCGGAGTGTACCTGTGGTAGCGGGGGCAGGTACTGGGAGGCGGGGTGTACCTTTGGTAGCGGGGGCAGGTCCTGGGAGGCGGGGTGTACCTGTGGTGGCGGGGACAGGTATTGGGAGGCGGGGTGTACCTGTGGTGGCAGGGGCAGGTACTAGGAGGCGGGGTGTACTGTGGTAACGGGGGGCAGGTACTGGGAGGCGGGGTGTACCTGTGGTAACGAGGGCAGGTACTGGGAAGCGGGGTGTCCCTGTGGTGACGGGGCAGGTACTAGGAGGCGGGGTGTACCTGTGGTGGCGGGGGCAGGTACGGGGAGGCGGGGTGTATCGTATCTGTGGTGACAGGGGCAGGTACTGGGAGGTGGGGTGTACCTGTGGTGGCAGAGGGTTGGTACTGGGAGGTGGAGTGTACCTGTGGTGGCGGGGGACTGGTACTGGGAGATGGGTGTACCTGTGGTTGCGGGGGGGCTGGTACTGGGAGGTCGGGTGTACCTATGGTGGCGTGGGCTCGTACTGGGAGGTGGGGTGTACCTGTGGTGGCGGGGGTCAGGAACTGGGTGGTGTACCTGCTGTGGCGGGGCCAGATACTGGGACGTGGGGTGTACCTGTGGTGGCGGGGGCAGGAACTGGGAGGTGGGGTGTACCTGCTGTGGCAGGGGGCAGGTACAGGGAGGCGGGGTGTACCTGTGGGGGCGGGGGTCAGGTACTGGGAGGTGGGGTGTCCCTTGCGGTGGCGGGGGGCCGGTCCTGGGAGGTGGGGTGTACCTGTTGTGGCGGGGGGCAGATACTGGGATGTGGGGTGTACCTTTGGTTGCGGGGGGCTGGTACTAGTAGGTGGGGTATACCTGTGGTGGCCGGGGGCAGGTACTGGGAGGTGGGAGGCAGGCCACCACTGACGCTGGCCACGGAACGCCAACTTCCTCCTCATTCGTCCTTTAAGTTCCTCGGCCAGAGTTAGGGGACGAGGCAGCAAGGTTGGAGGCAGTGATACATCGGGTGACGGAGACGTTGCTTCCTCTTCATCGTCGTCGTCATCGTCATCTTCAAGGTGTCGTCGCGAGAAAAGTGCTAACAGGTCGTCCGCGCTGCCACAGTCCCGCAGCGACAGTTTGTTGAGGTCGTCTTCAGTGTCCGTGTACGACACACTCTCAACATCGCCGTCACTCTCATCACCATTATCATCAAGAGAGTTCTCCACCACCTTACCAGCAGTGTTATCACCACCACAAGCGTCTCCAACACTCCTTCTAACACCATCAGTGCTCTGGCACCATCCTTTATCCATTGTATTTGCCCTCACTACACGGTGCCCTCACTATACAGTGCCCTCACTGTACGGTGCCCTCACTGTACGGTGACCTCACTATACGGTGACCTCACTGTACGGTGACCTCACTGTATGCAAGTCTTCAATACTCTGCTGATCCAAAACAAATGACCTCACTCAACAATATCCACTGGACAGTACACGATTATATAAATATCCTACTGAGCATTTCTCCCTCACCTCTTCCCCCTCACAACACCCTCCCCTCACCTCCCACCTTCACTTTTCCTACGTCCAGCACTTCGACTATATATGTTTGTGATATTAATTAAGCACCTCAGATGTGAGGTGATCTAAATGATTTAATTTTCATCTTCCTCCGGACTCTTTCTTTTCCCTCCATCCTTGGATTTTACTCTCCTCACCTCTACATGATTTTCACCTGCTTCTATCTCTTTTACCAGGAGTATCATATATGAGTGCACTTTGTATCTTATACATGGCTTGAGGTAGCTCCACCCTGTGTGTGTGTGTACGCACCTAATTGTACTCACATAATTGTGGTTGCAGGGGTCGCCACTCAGCTCCTGGCCCCGCCTCTTCACTGAGTGCTACTAGGTCCTTTCCCTGCTCCATGAGCTTTATCATACCTCATCTTAAAGCTATGTATGGTTGCTGCCTCCACTACATCGCTTGCTAGGCTATTCCACTTCCTGACCACTCTATGGCTGATGAAATACTTCCTAATGTCCCTTTGACTCATCTGGGTCTTCAACTTCCAATTGTGACCCCTTGTTTCGGTGTCCCCTCTCTGGAACATCCTGTCTCTGTCCACCTTGTCTATTCCACGCAGAATTTTGTATGTTGTTATCATGTCTCCCCTGACCCTCCTGTCCTCCAGTGTCGTCAGGCCGATTTCCTTTAACCTTTCCTCTTAGGACATATCCCTTACCTCTGGAACTAACCTTGTCGCAAACCTTTGCACTTTCTCTAATTTCTTGACGTGCTTGATCAAGTGTGGGTTCCAAACAGGTGTGTGTGTGTGTGTGTGTGTGTGTGTGTGTGTGTGTGTGTGTGTGTGTGTGTGTGTGTGTGTGTGTGTGTGTGTGTGTGTGTTGCCATTAGCATGCCACACTCAACAGTCACGGTTCCCACAAGCATCGCTAAAAATACCAGATAAAGAATAAGTCATCATTGTTGACAACGTTCGCACAACACCAACTGTATCAAATCTACTTAATAAAATACCACAAGACGTATCTGGCGTTGTATTAATTAACACATGCTTAGTGTTGTATTAATACAGCTTATATTGTATTAATACAGCTTTTGCTGTATTTAAAACATTTTTGGTGTTTTTATTAAAGCATGCTTATTTATTAATACAAGCCCTTTTTCTTATGTTGTATTAAAACTCTTATTGTATTAATACAACTTGTTGCTATTTTGTATTAAAAACATCGGTGCTGCATTAACACATGCTTATGTTTATTTAAAACATGTTAGTGTTGTTTTAAAAATGCTTGGTGTTTTCATTAATACATGCTTTTGTGTTGTGGGCTGCAAAAACAAATGAAGTTCAACGATGAAAAAATTTAATTTCTCAGATATGGTAAACACAGGAAATTAAATCTTTATCAGAGTACAAAACAAATTCTGGCCACAAAAAAAGAGCGAAACACCAACGTCAAAGACCTGGGAGTGATCTGCGGAGGGTCTCACCTTCAAGGGCCAAAATTTTATCAATCGCATCTCAGAAAAATGACAGGGTGGGTAATGAAACCTTTAAAAAAAGGGAGGCCAAGCCCATGATGACACTCTTCAGGGGCACTTTTTTCATCGGCTGGAAAATTGCTGCACCCCTAACGCACCCTTTTAAGGTAGGTGAAATTGCTGACCAAAAATGTACAAAACCTTTACGGCGCGCAAAGGAATAAAACACCTCAATTACTGGGGGCGCTTTGGGTTTCCCAAAACCCTGAAATTCCCGGAAAACAGGCGGGGACATACATGATTTTTTACACCTGGAAAATCCAAAAGGGACTAGTACCGAACTTCAACCAAAATCCTCACTACGAAAGCAAAAGACTTTGGGAACAGCAACACCCCCCAAGAAAAGCAGGGTGTCACAGCCGTTAAAAAAAAACCCTACAATAAGTGTCAGGGGGCCCCCGACTTTCTCAACTGCCCCCCAGCATACTAAGGGGATTACCAACAACCCCTGCATCTTCAAGCGGCACTGGGCAAGCACCTAAAGTCGGTTTCCTGACCACCGGGCTGTGGCTCTACGTTGGTTTTTCGTCAGCCAGCAGCAACAGCCTGGTTGATCGGGTCTGATCCCCCCAGGAACCCGTCCAGACCGGCCCGGGGCGTTGACCCCGGAACCTCTCCAGGGAAAATTCAGGGGAATACAACATGGGTTTGTATTAAAACATCTTTGGGGTTTTTATTTAAAACATGCTTGGGGTTTTATTAATACATGCTTGGGTTTTGTTAAACATGCTGGTTGTATTAATACATGCTTGGGGTTTTTATTTAAAACATGCTTGGTGTGTATTAAAACATCTTGGTGTTGTATTAATACACTTGGGGTTTATTAAAAACATGCTTGTGTTTGTTAATACAAGCTTGGGGGTTTTATTAATACATGTTTAGTATTGATTAAAAGCTTGTTGTATTTTAAAACATACTTGGGTTGTATAATACAAACTTGGTGTTGTAATTAAAAAACATGCTTGGGGTTGTATTTAAAACATGTTTTTGTTTGTATTAATACAAGCTTGTTGTATTAAACATACTTGGGTTGTATTAAAACAAGCTTGGGGGTTTCATTATTTAAAACAAAGCTTGTGTTGTATTATTAATACATGCTTTGGGGTTTTATTTTTTAATACATCTTGGGGTTTATTAATGCATGCCCAGTGTTTTTAATACATTCTTAGTGTTGTATTAAAAAACTAGCTTGGTGGGTTTTAAGCATACTAGTGATGTATCAAAACTACTCTGTGTTTTATAAACATAATTGGTTTGTATTAAAAAATGCTTAGTGTTGTATTAAAAATATACTTGTGTTTTTATTTAAAACATCTGGTGTTGTATTAATACAGCTGGGGTTGATTAATACATGCCTTAGTGTTTTATTAATAATTTCCCTTTGGGGTTGTATTAACACATCTTGGGTTTATTTAAAACAGCTTGGGGTTGTATTATACATCGCTTAGTGTTCATTAAACATCTTTGTTGTATTAATAATCCTTGTTTTTTAAACATGCATGGCGTTTTATTATCATCTTGGCGTTGTATTAAAAAATGCTTTGGGGTTGTATTAAACAGCTTGTGTTGTATAATACAGCTTGTTTGTATTAATACAGCTTTGGTGTTGTATTAAAACAGCTTGGGGTTGTATTAATACATCTGGTTTTGATTAATACACTTGGTGTTGTATAATACATGCTTGGTTTGTATTAAACATGCTGGGTGTTTGTATAAAAACATGCTTTGGGGTTGCATTAATATAGCTGGTGTTGTATTAATTTCATGCTTTGGGGTTTTTATTAATACATGCGCTTAAATTTTTTATTTAAAATATCCTTTTTGTATTAATACATGCTTGGGCGTTGTATTAATACACTTTGGGGTTGTATTAATACATGCTTGGTGTTGTATTAATACATGCTTGGTGTTGTACTAACACATGCTTGGTGTTGTATTAATACATGCTTGGTGTTCTTTTAATACATGTTTGGTGTTGTATTAATACATGCGCTTAGTGTTGTATTAATACATGTTTGGTGTTGTATTAATACCTACCTACTAGTTACATATCAGTGTTGCACTGACTGATACACACTTGTTGTCTACAATACAAACTCATTTTTATGTTGTATCTCTTCTAACATGATCTACATGTGAAACTTTGTAACCTCACTAGAGAACCCATGCTACACTTAACACCTCACTAGAGAACCCATGTTACACTTTACACCTCACTAGAGAACCCATGTTACACTTTACACCTCACTAGAGAACTCATGTTACACTTAACACCTCACTAGAGAACCCATGTTACACTTTACACTTCACTAGAGAACTCATGTTACACTTTACACCTCACTAGAGAACCCATGTTACACTTTACACTTCACTAGAGAACCCATGTTACACTTTACACCTCACTAGAGAACCCATGTTACACTTTACACCTCACTAGAGAACCCATGCTACACTTTACACCTCACTAGAGAACCCATGTTACACTTTACACCTCACTAGAGAACCCATGTTACACTTTACACCTCACTAGAGAACCCATGCTACACTTAACACCTCACTAGAGAACCCATGCTACACTTTACACCTCACTAGAGAACCCATGCTACACTTTACACCTCACTAGAGAACCCATGTTACACTTTACACCTCACTAGAGAACCCATGCTACACTTAACACCTCACTAGAGAACCCATGTTACACTTTACACCTCACTAGAGAACCCATGCTACACTTAACACCTCACTAGAGAACCCATGTTACACTTAACACCTCACTAGAAACCCATGCTACACTTAACACCTCACTAGAGAACCCATGCTACACTTAACACCTCACTAGAGAACCCATGCTACACTTAACACCTCACTAGAGAACCCATGCTACACTTAACACCTCACTAGAGAACCCATGCTACACTTTACACCTCACTAGAGAACCCATGTTACACTTTACACCTCACTAGAGAACCATGTTACACTTTAACACCTCACTAGAGAACCCATGTTACACTTTACACTTCACTAGAGAACCCATGTTACACTTTACACCTCACTAGAGAACCCATGTTACACTTTACACCTCACTAGAGAACCCATGTTACACTTTACACCTCACTAGAGAACCCATGTTACACTTTACACCTCACTAGAGAACCCATGTTACACTTTACACCTCACTAGAGAACCCATGTTACACTTTACACCTCACTAGAGAACCCATGGTACACTTTACACTTCAGTAGAGAACCCATGTTACACTGTACACCTCACTAGAGAACCCATGGTACACTTTACACCTCACTAGAGAACCCATGGTACACTTTACACTTCAGTAGAGAACCCATGTTACACTGTACACCTCACTAGAGAACCCATGGTACACTTCACACCTCACTAGAGAACC